CCCCCGCCCCCAGGCTCCCGCGGGATCCCGTCCCCTGCTTCTCAGTCCTGGTCCTTCCCTGGGCAAGTGGATGGGGAGGGCCTTCGCTCAACTTCCAACAAAAGGTACCCCAAGGACTAGCTACCTGTGGCTCCCAGCTGGGGAGGTCACCCGCTGGCCCCTACAGCCCCGGGTGAGGGCCCTCTTTCTCTTCGGAGCAAGCTCCTTCCCCTCTTTCCTCCCCTCAGCCTGCTCTGCAGCAGCCTCACAACACTAGATTCACAATAAATAAAACCCATAACCCACCCCTGCGGTGCAATGTTGGGTTGATTGACTTTCGGAGGATCCTGACCTGTGCTTTGTGTTTTCATACAGTTAAGAAAGAGAGAGAGAGAGGCACAAGGACTTAGAAAGGGTCCAAGGAGGGGAAATGCAGGGAGGAGGGAGTAAGGCACAGAAAGACAAGCCAGAGGGGCCAAGTCACACCCTGGATCCGGGCTGGGCGTGCTCCTGCTCCCCTCCCTCCCAGGGGGGCTTCTGAAGACCCCCTGCACAGGCCCCGACCTTCCCTTGGGGGAAGAGGGGACTTCAGTGGGGGGGGGGAGCTACTTCCTGTGGTGTGCTACCAAATTGTTCCCAAGTTGCTTAACTGGAGGAGTTACCAATTGCAACAGAAGACCCGAACAATGAATGCCCCACCCCGAAATAAAGAGTAAAGACATTACAGCTGAAATCCAGAGAGAAGTGGCCACAGGGGGTGAGGTTGTGGGGAAAGTGAGGAGGGGCAGAGAAAGCTCCAAAACACTTTTAAAAAAGGACGACACCCAACACCCTCCAAAGGAACTGAAAGTGGGCCAGCAGGACGCCTACCTAGCGCAGGTGGCAGCTTAGGCGAGGGCAACAGTGGCTGCCCTTCCTTCTCGCTTGGCTCCGGGTCCCCTTTCTGCTCCACTCTCCAGCCGGGCCTCAGCAGGGTGTGAGGGGCAGGGGCAGGGACCGATGGGGTGGCACAAGGGCACCTGCATGCGGGCTGGGATGTGGGGGTGACCTGGAGCCTGTCTCCCCTCACTTGGGCCATAGCAGAAGGGCAACCTTCCTGGCCTGCCTGTGAAGAGAGAGAAGAGGGGGCCTGTCCCATGCTGGGACCCGAACTTGAGAGCATTCTGACTTTTTACTGTACAGAGGGGATCTGGGGTCCCAGGAACTACCCCTGCGGCCCAGGGTGGGGTAGCGGAACACCCTCCATTCTGGGAGCTTGAAACTAGCTCCAGGGGATACCCCCTGTCCACAGGGGCTGGGGGGGCTTCTAGCCCAAGGGTGGGGCAGGGGACTCAGAGGCCTCCCTGCCTCACCCTATCCAGAACAGGCAGTGAGGGAGGTCTGGGTGGGGCCTGGAGGGAAGTGCCCTCTAGATCTGCACCCCTCATCTTTAAAAGCTAGTCCTCTGAGCTCCATAGTGAAGCTCCAGCCAAGGGTGGGGTTCCCCCAGGAAGGGCAAGGGTGGGGGACAGGCCCCTTCAGAACGGTGCTGGTTGATTTGTTTGGGGATTTAGTTCCTTCCCCAGAAGGCCAAGATGGGATGGGGGAGGAAGGAAGTTCTGCTGCATCCTTTCTTTCTTTCTGTCCTCTGCTTGGCAGAGTCCGTTTTGCATGTTTCTTTCTGCTTGGCTGCTGGTGCACAGCTCCGCCGAGACCTCTTCCGAGGGCTCTCAGAAAACTGGGCTGCTTCGGGGGCCTGCAGGGGTCCCTGGGCTGGAGGAGAGAAGGGCTGAGTGGCTGACGACGTCTAATTTTTGCTTTTCGGTGGGGCTGGGCTGGGCTGGGGGATTTTTTTCCACGTCTCAAAATTTCTTCTCCCCCCGTTTGAGGAACCTCTTCTTTTCATTTTGTCATTTCTTTTGTCGATCTTATCAGAGGAACCAGGACTGAAGTGGGACAAAAAAGAGGCGATATTGAGAGCAGCAGGGGTAGGGCCCTTCTCACTTCCACCTGGCCCTGTGACTGCAGGTGGTGTCCGAGGCCCCTGGAGGGTCCAGCTCCAGCAGAGCCAGGGACACCAACACTCCATGCAAAGGTACATCCCATTCTGTTGGTCCCTCCTATGGGAATCCTGTCCCCCAAGAGACCCTGCCCCCCAGTGCTAGTCCAGCTGGCCTTCCCGTGGGCACTGTGCCCAGCGGGTAGGACCCCCGTGGCTGGCACAGATACAAGCACAGACCTGGGATCTGGCCATGTTTCCAATTGTTTAGGTTTTTGTGTGGGCCCTGGAGGGTGGAGAGGATGCCAGGCTGGAGCTTTTGTCCCCAGAGGGGTTTGGGGAGTGGGGTGGGGGTGGCCCAGCTTCTTGCTGAGTTTTCTTTCTGTCTCTTTAGACTAAAAGCAAAAATTCCCATCTGTACACCCCAGCCAAGGTCCCACAGGCTGAAAGGCTGGTGAGAGGGAAACACCACATGGCTTCAGTCCCTAGCAGTGGTAGTCCTGGGGGAAGGACCTGGTAGACACACGCCCCCCCCCCCCCNACTTGCTGAGCGCACTCCTGATAATGCTGGTGAGGGTCAAGTTGGCGTCTGGCTCAAAGAAGGGCGCTCAGGGCGGAGAGAGAGGGAAGGGGACATTTGTTCGTTGGCATTGACCTCTGCGGGGGAGGGACTGGGGACCCCCGCCGCGCCCCTGTGCCTGGACCGTGATGGGGCGAGGAGGGAGGCTCTGGGCCCGGGGAGGGGGCGCCCGGGGAGACCCGTGGCCAGAGCAGCCCCGCCGCTGGGCGCACGCCGCTGTCCCGTTCCGTTAAACTCAACAAAGAAGGGATATGCGTGTTCCTAACAAGTGCAGGATATTTAATTGATCATAAACTTATGTATAATAGTTTGTGGGTCTTTAAAAACGTACTTTATAATGTAAGAAGCACCAGGGTTTTATGTTGAATTATCTTAAAAGTATTTTTCTCTCGTCCTTTTCCTTTTAGATCTTGTGTTGATTTTTTAAAAATGTTCAGGTGGTTTTTTTTACTCCTAAAATGTGAACGTTTCCTTCAGCCCTCCCACCGAAACCAAGAACGAACGACGAAACAAATAAAAACCCCAGATCATCCTTGTCAACGCAGGAAAACGACTTAAAAAAAAAAAAAAACCTGAAACGAACAAAAAAAAAAAAAAAA